AACGGCTAAGAGTCGAGTCTTCCTTTCGTACGCTAGTTCTTAAAACTTTTCGTTAAGTACTTTTTACGTAAACTTCTTATTTTTATTAATATTCTATAGCTCTTTTATCTAATTTTAATATTTTTAAAAGTTTAAATTCTTCGGCTTTCGATTCATTAAATTCTATTTCTTTTAAATCTTATCTATATAAGTCTTTAATAATTTAAATAAAAGAAGACGATAGTAAGTATAGTTAGTCTCGGCTTCGGTTTTAATTAAGTAAATTATAATCTTACGGAATTAACGAAGATATAGCTCTAGGCTTTAAGATTTCTTTCGTCGGTACTTCGCGAGTATCTAAAGATATTAAATACTTATTATTCGCTATACTTTATCTCGATCTTTATATTTATTTAAGATCTTCTCTTTAAACTTTTTCTAATTTATTACGTTATACTTAACGAGCTCTTTATAGCGTTCTTTCTCTACTTTAAATATAAAGCGAATAGATCTATGAATATATTCTTCGTTTAATATAATTTAATTATATTTATATAGCTCTTTAAACTCCTCGAAGAAAGAGATAGCGTTCTTTCTATTAAAGTATAAAAGATTATTACTTTTATTTAAGCTTTAAGATATTTCTCTTATTAATATTATAGTAAAAGAAATATATAACGATTATATCGTCGAATTCGGCGTCGATAGATTTTATAAGCTAATACTTAATATCGTAGAAGACTCTAGCTTTTTTTTATTATTTAATTCTTCCGTAAACGATATTTTTCTAATATTAAATCGTTCTTACTTCTTCTCTTATAATCGAAATAATATAAATCTTAATAACGAAACTAAAAGATTTAAATATTTTATTATTTTTATTATTTTTATTAATATTTTTAGTTATTTCTCTTTTTTCTCTCTTTATCTCTTTATTAACTTTCTCGTTAAGCTTTTTTCTCGTCTTTACTAATAATTTCTATTAAAATTCTAGATTTACTTCTCGATTAGTAGCGCTCTAACTTCGCTTATTTTAGTGAGTTTAGTCTAATCGCTTATTTTCACTATTTCTCGAGTAAATCCGCGTTCTTCGACTTCTTCTAAGCTTCTTAAGTTCGGAGTTTTTAGAGTTAAACGTATTTCTACGTTTCTAGGAGATACTTCTCTCTTAGTTCTTTTAGGTAATCTAAATAATCGTTAAGTCGTTAGTTTTCACCCTATATAGTGGTAGTAAATATACATAGCTAGTAATCTTAAAAGACACCCCGAATAGCGGTCTCTATAAATAGCCAGCGCAAATCGCTCCGTACAGCGAAATAGACTTACTTAGCTAGTAATTTAAATGGTATACTCTACGCAGCGGTTCTATATATATAGCTAGTTTCTCTAGATTTAGTTAGATAAATAAATAAATAGATAGATAATTCTTTAGTTCTATTAGTTCAGTAAGTAGTTTATTTTAGTCGTTCATCGTAATCTTCTCTCACCGCTCGTAGAGAGATACTCATCCGTAAGTATTCGTCGAAGATCTTATTAGTGGCACTACTAAACTAGAGAGAGACTACTAGCTATAGACGTTAACTCATACGGCGGTGGGCTAGTCTCTTCACAGCACGCACACTTAACTAAAGAAAGTTCTCCCATTCATAACTTAATTAATTATTCTATGAATGATAGTTCCCGAGGACTATATAAGAAGAACCTTAGTTTAGCGTCGACGCCTCAGCTAATTATAAAGCTATTCCTCACTTTAAACTTCTTCCATTATAATATAGATCTAGGAGATTCGTGCTATATTGAATATATAGATATATCGTAATATACTTAATATGTCAATATATCTTTTCTTATTATATTGCTAAGCCTCGGTAGGTCTAATATATTATATTTTCGGTTATTCTACCTTATTTTCTCTTCTCTTAAGTTCTTAGCCTCCTTCAGTGATTAGTTCGTAATAATACGAGACTAAATATTTATTACGAATTCGGCTAAACATCGGAAGGACGAATGTCTAATATAATTAGGCTACTAACTAAGAGATGCGACTTAAGGAGTATATCCTTATTACTAGTGTAATGGAAGAAGTTTAAAGTGAGGGATAGCTTTATGATTAGCTAGGGCGTCGACGCTAGACTAAGATTCTTCTTATATAGTCCTCGGGGACTATTATTCATAGAATAATTAATTAAGTTACGAACGGGGGAACTTCCTTTGGTTGAGTGTGCGTACTGTGAAGAGGCTATCCCACCGCCGTACGAGTTGATGCCCATAGCTAGTAGCCTCGCCTTAGTTCACTAGTACACTCTTCGTATAGAAGGCGTACTCTTTTCTCTCTTATACTTTAAGTCGTATATAGTATCGACTATATACTATAGAGATATCTTAAATATACGCTTATCGTTAGATTCTATTTACTTACTAAGGAATCTCTAATAATATTGTAATAAGACAATATCGGTAAATTTTCCCGCGCGATCCTAAGAGCCCTAGGCTACCCTAGGCTATTAAGGTAAGTCTGCGTCTTACGCAGCCCATGAGACCGCTGGGCTCGCTAAGCTACTCTAAGAGAGCTTATAGGCTACTCTAAGAGAGCCCTAGGCTAATATAATAATTTATAACTTTACGAATATATAATTGTACTAGTCGTTTAAACTAATACTAACTAAGATTACTATATTATACTAAAATTAAAGTAGATATATATAAAATATAAGATTTCGAACTAAATCTTAAATTATTAGCTTAATAGCGTTAGTATTTACTAAGATAAAGACTTAGCGAGTTATTTACTTTTAGTATAAACCTTATTTCTAAAATAGGAAAGACCTTTTTAAATTTAATAATATTATATAATAAGTATATTATAAAAGTTACTAAAAATAGATAGTCTATAAGAGCTTATAGCCTAGATATAAGAGCTGTGAGTAACTATGGGCTCCCTGGGCTCCCTAGGTATATAAGAATACTGTGAGTCGCGGGAAAAATTACTAATGTAGTGAATTATTCGCTTTTAGTGTAAATCTTATTTTCGAAATAGAAAAGATCTTTTTAAATTTAATAATATTATATAATAAGTATATTATAAAAGTTACTAAAAATAAATAATCTATAAAGGCTTATAACTTAGATATTATAATAAGGCGAGGTGGCTATACTATAATAGACTATACTAGGCTAATAGAGCGGTAGTAGAGAGAAAAAGTTATCTAGTTATATATTGAACTGGGGCGAGGCTACTAACCATGGGCATTAACTCGTACGGCGGTGGGATAGTCTCTTCACAGCACATACACTCAACCAAAGGAAGTTCTCCCGTTCGTAACTTAATTGATTATTCTATGAATGATAGTCCCCCGAGGACTATATAAGAAGAACCCTAGTCTAGTGTCGACGCCCCAGCTAATCATAAAGCTATTCACCACTTTAAACTTCTCCCATTACAATATCAAACCTAAATGGGCTGGTAGAGAAGGGGGGTGCGGAACAGTTTATAGTGCTGGCAGTGTGCCATTCATTACAGTTTGAGCAGAGTATCATAAATTCTATGGCTTTTGGCGCCGTCTACCTAATTCCTGAGTGTTTTCATCAGTCCTGCCCTGTTCCTCGATGCCGCCGCTGTGCTAGGCGTTCGTTGCTCTAGCCGCTACCTCTCTGGGTGGTGTTGGTGGTGGTGTTGTCTTGTCAGCGTCAACCAGAAACGCGTTCTCGATTCCCGATCTGCTGGACAGGCCTCTGTGCGTTGTTGCACGTGCACGCCGAACCTTGAAGTGCTCTATTACAGTATAAGAGCTGTGAGCGGCTATGAGCGACTGTGGGCTCCCTAGGCTCCCTGGGTATACAAGAATACCGTGAGTCGCGGGAAAAATTGCTGATAAAGGTGGCTATACTGTGATGAGCTATACTGAGCTAGTAGAGCGGTGACAGAGAGAAAAAGTTGTCTAGTAACATATCAAACCTAAATGGGCTGGCAGGGAGGGGGGTGCGGAATAGTTTACAGTGCTAGCAGTGTACTATTTATTATAGTTTAAGTAGAGTATTACGAATTTAATGGTTTTAAGGCCGTTAATCTATTTCTAAGTATTTTATTAGTTCTATCCTATTCCTCGATGCTACCGCGGTGCTAGGTGTTTATAGCCCTAGCCACCGCCCCTCTGGATGGTGTTGGTGATGTTTTATCAGTATTAACCAGAAACGCGTTCTCGATTCTCGATCTGCTGGACAGGTCTCTATGCGTTGTTGTACGTGCACGCCGAACCCTGAAGTGCTCTATTACAATACTATAGGAGTATCTTATTTATACGCTTATCGCTAGATTTTATTTACTTACTAAGAAATCTTTAACACTTTTATAGAAGATAAGTACGTCTATAGTTCTAAGGCGAGGGCTATAAGGTAGTTTCTCTAATAAGCCGCCTTTCTTATCGAAAGTACTAGCTTTCTTATTCTTCGTAGTCTCTCTTAAAGAGTCTTTCGAAGTCATCACAACGGGAACTAAGTAATAAGTTTCCTATAGAATATTAGCCTAGAATATAAAACGTAAAGGGCATCTCACTATATCTTCTCGCCGAGGAGGCCAAGTAGAAACGAGATAACTCGAATACACAGTGCACTTTCCCTTTCGATGGATAGCACGAAAATCGTCAGGGCGAATAGGTGCACCTGAGCGAAATCACGCCCTTCATCGACGCAGCCAACAGACAATACTTCGTCGCTAAATCCGAGCACGATGGCAAAATTCATGCTCGAACCTGATACCCCTAATTAATGCTCAGTTCACACAAGCAAGGAATCTACCTTATCGGCTAAGGCACCGCACACTATTCGCAGTTTATTCGAGATTTGGATTAAAGCATTGGTTACACCTGCTCCTATACTACCTGGATAGACAAGATACCGCTCACAGCGCCAATACGAGCTAGGCCCCTTTCCCCTTCAGCCCCCCTGGTGGCCTCTTGCACATTTCCGTCTGATGCTTCCAGGTCATGACCGTCATGACCTCTACACAACGCTTGACAGCATTCTCAGTCCGTTCTCTCCAGCTTCAGCCTCCACGCCTTGGGTTCGACGCCCACAACCTTCCCGCTCGCATCCTCGGTGACCACGAAATAGTCAATCGACTCCCACCCATACTCGATCCGATCAATCACCAACCAAGTCTGGCAACTTCCATGCGGGAAGAACAGCTGCGCATCAACCGCCGCGGCATCCTCCGCCGTGCCAACCGTATACACGGCGCGCCATGCCGACGACCCGTTTCCGGCCTGCAAGTTCGTCGGATACAGCCTGATGGTCGTGGGCACGTCCGCAGCGCCGTTCAACGCGGAATACCCCTCGGCGACGTCGACGCCGTTGGCCGAGAAATTCGACACCAGCACGCCAAAGTCGTCGACCGACAGCTCTAGACTCGAGTTGGGACGCGCGCTGTACGTCCCCGCCAGCTTCGCCGACGCCTCGCTCTTGCCGATCTGGTCGACGACGGGGATGATCGCCTGGACGAGCTGCGAGAATATCCCGAGACCGACCGTCTCGTCGCTGTCCGGCCCGGCGAAGTTCATCGCGATCACCAGATCAAAGTCCGGCACGAGGGCCAGAATCGCAGAGTAATCCCCCACGTCGCCCAACTTCGCGTAGAAGTCGATGATCCGCCCGTCCGCGGTGAGGTTGGGGCCTCGCACAATCTCCCACGATGCACCCACCGCCATGCCAATCGACGACGTGAACGTCATGGGTTTCATCCATTTGCGTGTCTGAGCCGAGTCGAGCAGCGTGTTGGACAGGATGGCCTTGCCAAAGGATAGTATGTCGTTGTTGCTTGCGTATGCGCCGCCGTCACTGCCCGTCATGTCAATGGCGTGTCCTTCCCGCTAGCCTCAAACTATATGGAATGTTCTTACCTGCTGAGAAACCCAAGGGATGTTCCCCACCAGTTCGACTCTGCTGGAATGAACCCCAGATTGCTGGCTGGAGCATCGACCCCGGTTGTACGGTTCATGCCTGCTTTTCGGGCGATGTTCTGCTCAAGGTAGTCTGCCCACGTCTGTCCGCTCACGTTCTCTATGATCCGACCGAGCACGGCGTAGCCGATATTCGAGTACACCGGGGTGGTGAACGGGCGGTAAATCGGAGGTTTGGAGCCGATGTGGTTGAGAAAGTCTGGCGAAACAAGTCAGCGTCAGAGCTGCAAATGCGGCGGCCGCGGCCAACTCACCGTCCAACGAGCATGCTGCTTGTCCAGGCATTTCACCGCAAGGAGGCGGCTGCTGGGACTGGGACAATTGTGGGAGTCCCATTGTCTGGGCCATCCCCGGAATGTATTCAATCGGGCCGCCGGCGACTGATAGTCCATGTCAGCTTCTCGTCCGCAATCACAGGCGCCGCAGTCCACGTACGATCCACGGGCACCCCGCCCAGGTGAGTCAGAAGTGCTTCTACCGTGACCGTGTTCCAGTCCACGGCGGTCAAGCTGTTGTTGGAACCCGAAATCCCGGCAAGTTTGGGGACGTATTTGGTGACGGGGTCGGCAAGATTGATCTTGCCTTCCAACTGGAGGATCCCGAGCGCCGTAAACACCTTGGTCACGCTGCCGACACGATACACGGTGTTGCCGTCGACCTTGTGCGCGCCGCTGGCGTTGAACTCCTGCGGCGTATAGTGGAAGTTCAAGAGCGGTCCAGCCTCATGGACGCTCCTCATCCCGACCGAGACGGCGGTTTGGTTGAGCGAGGAGCTCACGTTCAGCAGCTGCGCGTTGACCTGGGCGACAAGCTGTTGAAACATCGGGTTCTGGCTCAATCCGGTCGGAGCGGGAAGGATCGGTCCCAGCGGAGGACATTGGGCAAGAAGAAGCGAGCTGTGCAAAAACAAGCAAACGAGCGTCCGGTGCCACGGCATCGCCATAGTGTGTAGAATAGTAAAGATATGATATGAAAGGAGTACCCACGACCGAGAGAATCATGGCTCGTCGTTTCACGGATTAGGTGTCTGCTTTATATTCACTTACCTTGAACCATTTGACATTTGGAGGAGGACACGGCTAGGTTAGCGTGAGTTTTGTCATTTCACAAAGATGGTAGCCTGGGTAGAAAGAGGCTTAGCAAGGCGGGACTGTGACTACATGTGTGCTCAGGCATCAAGCAGCCTCAGAGACAGTCGAAGAGGCTCCGCTGCTATAGTGGCGGTCTGGAATGGGGCACGAGTCCGAGACACAAGCCACGTCGGACACGCATCGTGGCTCGCCCTTGCCTTGGCACTGGGCCTTAACTCGTAATCAGTCGGTTCGGTGCTTGTGCGGAAGCTTAGCTCTCTCTAGGAATGGGATGGTTTCGAATCGGTAGAGACATGAATAATAGTGTGGGGCCGGCTCGGTTGTCGGACTGTTGACCCAATGCGGGATGGACAGGCAAGGCTGCGAAATGATCTGCTAGACATCGCCATGGTCCCTTGTGGAGCTGCCACTGTCCTTTTGTGGCATGGAACAAGCATCAGTCGGGCCCACTTCATTTTGGCAGGTCGAGATTCTTTCGCCGCCCCTCAGCGAGCTAGGCCACCGCTAACTCTGCTGATTCAGTCTGCTGGAGCCAGTGGTTGCCTGAAAGACGTGTTGAGAGCAATCCCAGAGCACGAAAATACCACCGGTACGACCGTTGTTGCTGGATGCGCGTAATTTACGATCCACAGACTCTACTGCTCGTCGCACCAAGTCGACGTTGGCGAATGAGGGAACCTTGAGTGGATGCTGTAATGCACTCCGCAATACCTTATTTGCTATCATGCAGTCTACCATTCCGAGGAGGACAGAATAATCCAGGCGAGAAGCCCGCTATGCGACTGCCGGCCTCCTCACCCGTCCACCACCAAGGTCTCTTTCATCGCCAGCCACTTATGCTCTGAATGTTCCTGGTAGAGAACATATGTTGCGTCGACCATGGTCTTGCCCTCGACAACGTAGTTTACTTCGCACAAGACCTCATGGAAGCGAGGCGGTCCCCGGAAATCAGCTCCAATGTGTGCGTTGCTTGTGGGTATGAACTCAGCTCGCCCTTCCTCGAGTTCCATCACGCGTGAAACGACAGTGATGTTCTCTCCTCTGTGCCAAAGACCTTCCTTCTCTCGACAGAGGCGCATCAATTCCACTAGTCTCCTCCGGACCGCTGGCTGTCTGCACCTCAGTGCGCAAAGGTAGAGCGTGCCTAGGAAGCAGCTCTCAAAGGAAAAGTTGGTCGTTTGATTGGCCGCAGACAGTTGACGCAGACCTATTTCGGCAGCTTCTGCAACCGCTTCAAATTCCGGCAGGTACGCGTCGTAACAGTCTTGTGACAACTCCAAGCTTGCTTCGGTATAGATCCTCGTCTTCAGAAAGTGGCCGTAGAGGATGAGCGCGGGGAGAGATAATTCCGGAGGCCCCGACTGGAGTGCTGTTTGCAGCTCCACAAATTTCTCATTCCAGATCTGCAGGCTCGACGCGAGTAGATCTCTCTCCTGGCGTAACTCCTCGATCGGTATGCAGGTCCTCGAAGCCCACAGCTCGATCAGCGTCTCGGCAGAACGCCGTCTCAAACGCAGAAGCGCTGTCATAATATCATATAGAGAGCTTCGTGCGCGCTCTAATTGACTGGGAAGCGGCTCTTGTGTACTCTTGAGAGCAGAGTACTGGGTTGATAGTGGCCAATGCACCGGCTGGCCGAAGGAAGCTGATAACGTTCGCAGGCGAGCAAAGAGATTCAAAAGTCCCGGTTCAATGTCGCCGGTGCGCACATCGAGTGATTGTCGGAAATATTCAACAAGCATCGCACAGCCCTTGTCGATCAGCGCAATGGCATTGCGATCGTTCTTTCGGTAATACTCGATACAGATGAACAAGGCACACGACGCAAGAGCCGCATTCAACGGGACCGGGTCTTCGACCCTCGCAGACCGATTTGCGAACGACGCTATGGCTTTGTTGTACGATCTCAAGGCTTGGACACAGCGAGAACAGGAGCAGATAGATATGTGACTGTTGCTCCCGTCGGCGCCATGTCGGAAAAGATTGCCGAGACAGAAAACGCCATTGCGCACAGCCGCGTCGGCGTGGGAGATCTGAATGATAAGTTTTTGCCATAGGCCGACGTCGAAGGGTCCACCGAGTGTGGATGATATCCGCTGAGTATAGAGGCGGTAGGCTTGCCATTCATCTTGTGTGGCCGTAAACGCTGACAGCAAAGAGGCAGAGCTGTTAACTTGTGGAACGACCCCTACTCGACTCATAATGCTCCTTGCCCCATCTACCAGCAGGAACTGGTAGCCTTCACAAATCCTGCCGGCCTTCAAGCATCTCTGGCAGTGTGGTCTTTCTTCTCCGCATTTGACCCTCCTTTGACGGCATGTCAGGCATGCTGTACGAGACTTAGGCCCATGTCTTCCTGTAGTGCTAGCCATAATAAGGGAGAAATACTTGTCGGAAGGAAGCAAGAAACTGCCTGTCGGACTTCTGCATCGACTTGGGTAAGGACTAATAAAGACTCGAGCAATGGCGGGCTGTGGGAGGCCTGACAGCGGTGTTCTTTTTACGCGACATCAACGAGGCCCAACGGCCCCAGCTGCCGACGGCGGCATATATTGAGGCCGGGGGACACTTGAAACGGCAACGCAGAGCTTGTTTGGAATCCAATTTACCTGGTTTGGTAATCCTTTCTAGGAACAATGTGATCAGGCTCCTTCTTCATCGATCTGCATGCCCACACAGCCAAGCTAGGCATGAACAAGGTAAGGGTGGTAACATTCATTATGCTCTTAATGCCGTTCTTGATTTTGCGGAGCCATCAGTCGGGGGACGCGTCTCCTATGGCCGCGGAGGTCCTAAATTGTTAAGGTTCCTACCGGGGCCTAACTAGGTTAGGGTTCCTAGTAACAATCCTAATAGTATGAACTGGTTGTGAATTACGCAAGGTATGAACAGTCACTTATCACTAAGAACTATAAGTTCAATAGTTAACATGAGTTGGCTACGAAGGGAGTGTAAGCTATCTAGGGGTAATGAGGGTGTATATATAATGCTCATACTCTATGCGCTCTATGCGCTCTGTACGCTCTATTGACAGGGCCAGTAGGGCCAGCAGAGCCAACAGGGCATATTACGTGACTTAGCCTTATTCTTCTGTGGATCCTTTCATGTGTCCAATGAGTGTAGCGAGCCGTGCCTTCGCGGCTCGTGACCTACCTCCTCTAAGGCTGTGTCTAACATGAATACCCTTGTAGCCTAGATTGACGGTCCTCGAGGTAGACGAGCCTTAGGACAGATGGGCTAGAACTGTTAAACTAAAAAGGTTGGGAAGTCACGTAATCCAGCCTAGCCACTTAATACTATCTATATAGTCTACCGTAGTCCCCGTACTGAATAACGCGGGATAACCTTTTGATCATTCAACAGGGACACGCCCACGCTATAGAATACTGGTCCTAGTAAATTTTCCTACTCGAGATTTTGTCCTAACATTATATTGTAACAAGGCAAGGTGGCTGTGCTGTGATGGGCTGTGCTGGGCTGGTAGAGCGGTGGCAAGGTGAAAAAGTTGTCTAGTCACATATCAAACCTAAATGGGCTGGTAGAGAGGAGGTGCGGAATAGTTTACAGTGCTGGCAGTGTACCATTCATTTTTTACAGATTGAGCAGAGTATTATGAATTCCATAGCTTTTGGTGCCGTCTACCTAAATCCTAAGAGTATTTTATCAATTCTATCCTGTTCCTCGATGCTGCCGCTATGCTAGGTGTTCGTAGCCCTAGCCGCTGTCTCTCTGGGTGGTGTTAATGGTGTTGTTATTAGTATTAACTAGAAACGCGTTCTCGATTTCCGATCTACTGGATAGGTCTCTATGCGTTGTTATACGTGTACGTTAAACCCTAAAGTGCTCTATTATAGTTGGCGATCGCGGAAAGATGATCTATTCATCGAAGATTCGAGCTCTTTACGATAATATCTTAATAAGATACTATATTAAGAATTATTAAAATTGATATTAAAGAGTAAAGAATACGACTAAATAAGAGTTCGAGATTAACGACTAAAATTTACGTAGGCATCGATTTAACTCTAAAAGACGATAAGGCTACTTATAGAGATAGAGTTCGCTAATTATTTAGGAAATCTTTTCTACGAAAGAGTTTAGAACCGAAATATTGAGAAGAATTTAAGATAAATAACTCTTTTAAGAAGTAGATTAATTAGTCGCGAATAGAATACTATAGTGAAGATATTTCCGAAGAGAAGATATCTAATTAGTAGAACGAGACGTTATAATATTATAACGTATAAAGTCTAACGCGGAACTCGAAGAGAAAGAAGACTATCTCTCTAAGGTCTAGAAGTTCTTCTAGATGAGCCGTCGAAAAAGTATACTTATCGAAGAACTAAGACATAAGAAGTAAGAAGATAAATACGCGGAATAACGAAGAAAAGAAGTAGAGAGACACGGAATACGAATAAGTTTTGAGATAAAGGAATGTTTTAATAGAGAATTCGGTATAGAGCTATAATAGTAATTCTAGACTATTACGGTTAGATAGATAAAGAAGATATTATCGACGACTAGCTATTGCTACGTTAAATATAGTTCTCTTAGCTAATTAGTGTTCGAGATGCGAACTTAGTCGACGCTATAGAGGTTACTCGCGTGACATTAGAGCTAATTAGAAAGGTCGATCCTCTCGTATACGGAGATCACTTATAGATCGAGAAGGTTGCGAACTAAGCATTAAAGAACGAGATCTATTCGATTATTGAATTAAGTTCCGAGAAGAAGGCGCCTTACTAGGAGCGTAACTAGTTTACTTATTAATTTAGCTACTACTTAAAGGAATCGAGGATGTGCGCGAGCTTCTAAACTAGTTCTTTCGAAGTATAGAAGCGATGATATCGGAGTAATCTAAAATACCGAGGTTTCGGGGACCAGCTACGAGCACTTCTTTAGCGTCTTCCGCTATATTCTTATCTTCTTCTAAAGATTCTTTATAGTTGTCTTCGTTAAAACTAATATAGATAATAACGACACCGGATCCGACGATAATAGCGTAGAATAAAAATAAGCTAATTACATTAAAGATATCGTGAGAAAGTAAGAAGAATTTCGAATATTTATTCTTTAAAGACGTAAATACTACGGTATTCTTAGAGAATTTTAAGTATTTATCTCTATATAATCGATAGTTAGAAGAAGATCGTACTAAAGCGATTATTCGTTTTTATAATCGTTTTTATATAGTAATTATTCGTAACCTATCTAAATATAAACTACGAGATTAGAAAGATATTAAGCGGAAGATACTAAAGGAGTAGGAGGACGAAGATAAAGATTAGCTAATATTAACTCTTTTCTATTTATAATCACTTAAGAATAAAAAGCGAGAGAGCAAGGAAGATATACGTATTTATTTACGCGAATTTAAAAGAACTAACGATACCTTACTTAAAGAAGAGAAAGTAATCTCTATTTAATTAGATAGATAGTTACTAAAAGAGTTATCGGAGCGAGATCATAATAAAATTATCTTAGACCTAGGTATCGATTATAGAGATACTAAAATAATTAAGTACGATAAGATTTACAAAAAGACTATAGATCGCTCGTAAGCTCACTATAATACTAACCGTTTTATAGACTCTTTAGAAGGTTAGGCTTTAAATGATTTAGTGGAAGAACGTAAAGAAAAGTTCTCGATATTAAGATAGAAAAAGAGAAGCATAAAAGATAAGAAAAAAGATAAGAAAACTAAGAAAACGACTAATAAAGTATCTTCTCGGACTTCTTAAATTAGATAAGGAATAGTGCTTCTCTCTACTAAGCTATTATTAGCGGGATATATTAATGAACTATTTAATCGTTTCTAAAGTGCGATGGTGCTAGAAATAAGAGACTTAAAGAAATAAATGTAAGTAGTGATAGGGGTAATTAGTGCCTTAGTGAACGTAATGATAGTGAATTTAGATTTATCTAGTTATATATTAAATCTAAATTTAGAGCTGAGATCGAGGGTATTCGCGACCGAGAGACCTAGCTATGGGGGAGATCGACGTAATATAATTTATTACTTTTGTGACGAGATTAGATATATATAGCCTCGCTATTCGTATTTAGAGGAATATCTACGAGCTAAATAGATTCATTTTAACTTAAGAAATTACATTGTAATGAGGCTTAAAGTATCGAGAAAAGATGTTAAAGGAATTCGTTTTCTATAATTAAAGACTAAATTA